TGAACTGTCCTCCATGGGGGGAGGCTTCTCTCGATCAAAGTTTATTAAGTAGAGACATTGCTGAGCAGTAGGAAATTATATGGGGCTTTTTCATTTCCCTTTAAATGAGCTCACTGGCTGGGCCTGGACAATATGGGCATGGTCATCCTATGGTTCATGCTTCCTACCTTTATTGCTGCTTTAGGTTTCCTGCCTTTTTCTCATTCAGTGCCTCAAAGTATCACTTTTTTTCTTTTTATTTTTCTATCACCATGTAACTTCTTTTCCTCTGCTCACTAGCTGTATTCTGGTGGTTCTGTTTCTTCCTGCCTCGTTTTTTGGGAGTGAGGAGTGACCTCAGACCTTCACTCAATGACATCCAGAAAAAAATAGTTTGAAAATGTCCTGCTGCTCCACAGCAGTCCTGAGCAACCCTGAACAGCCTGAGGCAAGCTTTGGGAAGCTCTCCCACCAGTTCTGTGCCCTCGAGAGCTTCCTTCCTGTGCTGTGCTGCAAGGAAGGCAGGAATATATTTGCCCTCTGGAATGCCAAGAGCCAAAGCAGGATGGTGAGTCACATCTCTGTTACCACTTCCCCGACCCGTTCCCTGCAGCAGGAGCATCAATGGGTGTGGGGAAGTTTGGGTCAGGATTTTTGCCCTGTTTGTTGTTTGGCTCTGTTCAGGGCATATCTCTCTGCAGTTCATTCAACTTCCTTGTTTTGTTTTTCTGGATGTTGTTGTCAGAACATAGATTTCAACTGCTGATGTCTGGAGAATTTAAAGCTGAGCTGCTCATCTATTTGCTCCCACTAAACGTTGCTGTTGTGCTGGGCAATAGATCTGACTTTTCTGTTGAGGCCATCAGCAGCTGGAAGTCTCTTTTTCTTTAAAAATTAACCAATTTGCATTGGAAAATAAACCATTCTTCTTTCCCTTAGGGGAATATCTAAGGCTATACTTTAAAAAAATCCTTGTAAATCTGTGTCCTTACTGAAGATGACAATGAAATTTTAAACATGCTAGACCTAAGACTATATATATATTTTTTTTTTTTTTTGCTTTCCTTGGATATTTTGGCATATCTGAAGGCATGTGACTTAATAAAACTGCTGCTTTCCACTGTCCCTGGTCACAAATACCATCATCATCTGGAGGTACTGATATGCTTCTCCAGTAAAGAATGCAGAATCTAAAGAGAAATCACCATTTAAAAATAGTCCCACTGACAGAAGAAGTTTGGAAAGAAGATACATTTTCTCAGCAAACCAGTAACCCAAAGCATACAACAAAATGTGTACAAACCCAGGAACAAAAGCATTGAGTGTTCAGTGCCTTGGCACAGTGACCCAGCTGATGTGAGTCCAGCAAAGGGAACTTGGATTTCATTATTTTGATGTGCAGGCTTTTGTACGTCTTCTGCCCTCAGTCCTATTTCTGCTAAAGAGAGGAAAAATCTTAGGAACCTTAGGAACTTCACACTGCAGTAGAAGAGGTACCAAAAGGTGACACATTCCCAATGAAGTTTGGCGAGAGCCTGGATGAAGATACTATCTCATTGAATTTTATTTTTATGTTTTTTTCTTCTTCTTCCTGTTCTGATTTTTCTTTCTGCCCTGATATTTTTCATCACTGGACAGATGAGTCAGAAGAATGGAGACAGAAAGAATGGGACTATTTCTGAAGGCTACAAAAGATGTTGCTGGGCTTTTTCTTCCCTGTGCAATGTGTGGAGTGTGGCAGTACAGTGATTTCTGGGAACTGTGCAAACCTCTGCATTTGTGCCCTGGGAACATCTGGGATTGCAACAGCAACCACATCTGGATCATCACAAGTAGAGATATCGCATATCTGGGAACCCCAGACAAGTGTTGAACTGCCTCTAAATTCATCTGGGCAGAATTCCTGCGCAGTTGGAGAAAGCATATCCAGGAAAATCAGACACATGGTAGGCTTCCCACTCACCAGCAGAGCTTGCTGGCCGAAGTCCTAGAAAGTGTGCTGGGAGAGCACAGAAATATCCCTGACTGATAGAGCTTATTCCTCCCGAGGAGATGACTCAGTGAGTCAAAATCTGAGCCACGTCTCTGCCAGTGGTGTCGCCAGAGTGGTTTGACCCATTTTTTTATGCCAGCCAGGCTTTTAACTAGTGGATGAGAGTCAAGAACAGCAAGGGAGGCTTGGAACGAGGTCTCCATGGCTTCCTGTGAGTGACAGCTCATCTCGCTATCACTGACAGGAGCTGGTGATGCTGCCAATGTTTCTTTCTTCAGCAATGGAGAAAGAGCTGCACCCAGCTGGAGGATCCAGGAGAGCCTTCTGGAGCAGATGAACATCCCTGCTCTATGATAAGGGGAAAATGGTACAAGGAGTTCATTGCAGCCCATATCTGTGTTCACATCCACCACCGAGGGAAAAGACAAGCTGAAGGAGCCCTGAGGAAGTTGGAGAAGCTGTTTGTACATGGCACAGTCTCACTGTGGATTGAGCTCATTTTTGTGAGCAGGACTGTCAAAGTTTGGCTTGGTTTCTGTTGTTTACCCTCTCCCAGATGACTCTAGCCCCTCTATTTGTACTCCATGATGGTGAGTGCAAGCAGGAACCTGAATGCTGGCAGATTTTAGGAGCAGTGTGGAAATTTTGTTTCTCAGATAGGAAAATTTAAAGCCTAAACTTTAAACTTCTCAAAAAACAAAGGCATTTTCCAATGCAGGGTAGAATCAAGTTTCAGTCATGAAACTTCCATGGGAGATGTATCCTGGTGGAGGGAGCCAGGCTGTACTTCAGGCTCTTCTGAATTAGCTGTGAGATCCTGGTGACCTCCCCATGAGCAGGGTTCACCTGCTCTGCCCAATGACAAAGAGTGTGTCTCATCAGTGTGCTGGTACCTGCATTTTTTACAGACAACAGAATACATTCTCAACCTGGGGATGGAACCTCTGCATGGAAATCTTTGTTTCATGAGCTGCCACAGCACTGCAGTTCCAGGAGCACATCTGAGTGTGCAAAACTGCTCTGCTGGAGAAGACCAAGGGCTTGGCCATGTTAGGAACAGATCTATCTTAAAATGGGCTTTCTCCCATCTCCAGAAGCATCTAGTGCTTGTGCTTCCACAAGCTCTTAAAGCACAGTCCAGGGAGACTGATGGAAAAACAGTATGCAACTGATTAAAAGCCCCAGTTGTCTCTTTATTCAGTCACATCTTGTTTTGGCAGCAAAGTTTTGTGAGTGATTCCACTCTTCCCTCTCCAAATTTTTAAATCATAATGTGCCAGGGCACTGCTGCAGAGCAGGGGCTGTGGGAGTTACCGTGCTTCAGGTGCTGAGCAGCAGGTCCCACAGTGAGCTGCTGCAGAGCTGGAAGGGTCTGACCATTTCTGATGCTTTCATTAGTGAGGGCTTCTCTGTATTCCTGTCAAAAGTGTAAATCATGTGGGTGATGCTGGAGGCTTGGCACCCATCATCTACTGCGGCTGCTCGGCATCTGTGGGAAAGTAGTTCCAAAAGTGATCTCTTGGAAAGTGGCAGCAAAAAATAGCACACAAAAAAAAAACCCTGAGCAGTATGGAAGAGACACAGAACAAGGCTCATGTGCTCCTCAGCAGGGACCTGTCCTTTGTGAAGCCTAATGGTGTTGGCAAGGTGGGCTTCTGAAATGTTTGACTTAGGTAAAATGGAGCTATTCCCTCTGGGGAAGTGAACTGGCACAAGTCTTTAGGGTGGGAATAAATCTGAATTGCTGCTTTGTGTTCAGAGCAGGCACTTCTGAGGCCTGTGTTTCAGATCAGAGTGAAAACCCCCTGATATGTCTCTCTTTATAAGTTGCTTTTATTCAGCTGAGACTGCAGCACTAATCATGGTGAAAATTATACCTTCCCTTAGCTGGGAGGGAGGGGAGAAGAGGGAGAGATGTAGTGCTGGTGTGGAGATGCTGTTGAAAAGTTTGTCAAAATTGCCAAAAAGCGTGAGTTATTTTCTTCAGTTATACTTTTTGCTTCTTTTTGTCAAATTCAAAATATTCTGTCTCCCTTGCAGCCAACAGGGTCAAACACTGGAAAAAATGAGCTCCCTGAGGTCCCTAAGGAGAGACTGCTGAATTTAGCTGCTCATCATGGCACATTTCTGTGGTGTGGGTGTGAGGAGGGGCAGCAGGTTCTGAAAGCAGTTCAGCATTCCTGTCTGTGCTTGCCACAGATCCCACCTGAAGTTTTGCATCCCACTGCATTTCTAGAAGCTTGATCAGAAGATTGTGGCTTCTGCATGTGGCAGTAATAATAGAAATAGAGGGAGGGGGTGTTCACTGTGAGCAGGAAGTTGTGTGTGGATAGAGGATGAAACCATTGTCTGTTTTCACGAGGTAAAAATAAGAAGTGCTGTGGAATCAAAGGTTCTATTGGTAGGGCCCTAAAACTATATAAAAAGGTTATAAATAAGGTTGATACCTAATTTAGTGCCAAAGTTGATGAAGGATACAGCTCTTGGTAGAGTAGTGGTGCAGAGATGGCAGCTCAGGTGCAAACCAGAGGAAACCTTTTGTGGGAATCAGGGTAAATGTGTTTTCCACATTTCCTCCCATTCTGTAGCAGAGGCTGGGTAGGTGCATTTCTGGAAATCCTTCTTTTGCACCCTTGGAGACAGATGGACACATCTGATGGCAGTTTTCCATGACCCTCCTATCTTCAAGATGTCATTTTAAAGTCATCATCATCAAAATTATCACAGTATCACCTTTCAGCTGTGTTGCCCAATAGTCACCTGAGCACAAAGATCTTTCCACCTTTAAGCAATGAGGTTTCCTCCATGTGTTGGAGCAGCTAAAGGCCAAACTCAGCCATACCCCAGCTGTAGCACCTGTGGATTGTGACCTGCACCATTTCCTGGCCTCCTTGTTGGCCCCCGTGGGTGGGTGAGGATGCTCTCAGGTTTGTGTGTACTAGGGAAATGCCTTGGGAGTAGCTGGTTGGGATGAGACTTCATTGCTTTCCCATTCCAACAGCTTGTTGTTCTTTTTTCCCTCTTCCAGGGACCAGAAGGGAAACCAGGAAAACAGGGGGAAAAGGGCAAGCCTGGCCAGAAGGTAGGAGCATCTTTGCTAACATCACAGCCTGCGGTTCTCCCTTTCGTTACTCGTCTCGGATATTTTCCTACAGAAGAAGTTTTGTCCTACACTGATGTCAGTTCCTTTGCTCTGCAGGGCAGCAAAGGCTACCAGGGGCAGCTCGGTGGGATGGGATCCCCAGGGAAGCAGGGGCCGAAGGGGAACCAAGGCCCTAAAGGATCCCGAGGTACCCTGGGACCGATGGTGAGAAGAGCTCTGCAAACGGTTGAACACAACACAGAGAAACCTGCCTGGCAGTGGTGGGCACAGGCCTGAATGGAGCAGAGAGCCCAGCAGAGGCTTCAGGACACTGAAAGGGAAATGCTGTTAGATGGGTTTAATTGGCCAAAACATCTTAACCCTTGTTCCAAGCAGCACGGGAGAGTCCATGGGGGTGGTTGGGTTGGTGCCCCGTGAGCCCAGCTCACGTTTCATTGAGGCAGTTCTTCACAACTCCCCAGATAGGCTGAAATTGCTGAAATATTGGGGATTTTTCCTCAGCTGAGTGAGCTGATAAGCTATTTTTTGCTAAGATCTTCCCCTTTGAGACTGCACACTCATGGCAAGAGCTGCTTCCAAGTCAAGCTGTGTTGTTATAAGGAATTCTGCCTTGGATTTCTGCCCTGTTTCTACACCCACTCTTGATCTACTTATCTAAAACACTTGGAGCAAGAAGAAATATAGCATGGAAAGGGTTTGAACTGGGTACTGAAGGTGAGGCTTCCAGAGAGAACAGCCATAGTATGGCAGAGAGGGGAGAAAGTTAATTTGTTTTAGGCCCAAGAGAAAAATACATTGGGACAGCAGTGGTAAATAAAAGTACCTCCCATGCATTACAGGCTGGTTAGGAAACTTCTTACACTCTATTTGATAGAACTTAGTGCAAAATCAGGAGTTATTTATGAACTAGAAGTAGTGGTGATATTTCAGAACAGTAGCAAATGAGTGATGGAGTGAAGGTTCTGCTGATAGTGTTTTCCTGCACTAAAAATTATGGCCTCACCATATATTCTCCCTTAATAGTTTTTGGCAAAGCCTCCATGGATTATTTCACAAGGAAGAAAAGCAATATCTGAGCAACACTCTATTGGAGTGGACATGTCTCTGTCTTGTGGAAATGGCTTTATTCCATGCTAAATGGAATTAAATGGAAATTCTGTGACTCACTTTAATCTGATGATCTGATTTAAACCCTTTTGTTCACTTTGCTAAAGATGTTGTTCTGGTCTGTGGAAGTCAGGTGGACTTCCTAGCACAACACTAATTTGTATATAGAGACATACAGGAGGGCAGATGAGGAGCACACAAATGCAGCCATTTCTGACAGCAAATCTGAGTGAGGTGAGGAATCTCTTGCTGTAGGCTGGCAAAGGCACAGAATGGCCTCCTGGGGTGTCCTGGTGGCTGCAGCAGAGCTCACTGGTGGCCAGGATGAGAACTAGCCACAGTCCCACGTGGTGCTGAGCTTTGCTTTGCACAGCCCAGTGCATCCCCGTCTCGTGCCAACACCGTGGGCTGCTCTCTCAGTCCCTCTGTCTTTGCCTCTCCAGGGAGCTCCAGGAAGGATGGGCGCTCAAGGGGACCCAGGCTTAAAGGGTTACCAGGTAAGGTTTTTATATTCATCTCCCAGCTTTTATCTGTTCTTAAACACAACAAAACTGCCACTCCAGGATGCAAATTGTTCTTAAACCGTGATTTATTTCTGATCTCGAGTTTAGCTCTTTGTTGAGTCTCCATCTGCACCACCTGCATTTGGTTCATCTCTGCCCATGTGACCCACGTGTCCCTCCAAAGCTGGCATGAACCACCCAGGGCTTGTGAGATCTGGCAGGGAAGCAGGGAGGACTTTCAGTCCCACAGCTCTTTCCTGCCTCCTCACATGCTGTCTGCTCTCCACAGGGACATGCAGGACCACCGGGGCCGATTGGACCACCAGGGCCAAAGGGGGAAAAGGTAGGTTCAGGGCTTTGGCCATCTCATTTCCCCTTGAATGAGTCCCAATGCTGTAACTCCCATGCATCTGCACGCTCCTCACCCTGTGGCAGTGGCAGAGGTGCCTCCTCAACCACACAGCCACTTACACAACCCCTCAAAGCTGAAGCCTTGCCTCTGCCAGTCAGTGCCAGGACACCCGTGGCACCAGCACGTGCTTCCCAGACACCACATGCCCTCGTGCCAGAGGCCTGCAGGAGCCCTGAGGATGTGTTCTCCCTGCACCCACAGGAATTCGGCTCAATCCCCAGGCCAGAAGGAATCAGACCCGCAGCTTTCTGTGATCGGGTCAGAATAACTCCCTACACAAACAGCTGATCTTCAGCTGCTGGCGTTTCTCCTCTGCATGGCCCTTGCTCCATGTTCCTTGTGCCCCACCTTTCGACAGCCCCCTGGCTGCAGCTGCCCTGACTCAGAGCCCTCTTTCCACGGTGGCTTTTCCCTGGTGTTTTCCCCCTTTTGCTGAGTCAGCACAGCCATAACCAGTTCAGGCTGGAGCAGTGACTCATGCTTTAATGGTTTCCTGTCGGCTCCACTGGCCCCTTGGCGCTCCCAGAGCTGATGGTGTCCTTCACATGCCTTCCACAGCCATGCTCCCTCCCTCCCCGCTGAGATCTCTCTGCAGAAGGCTCTGGGGAGAGCTTGTTGTGACCTTCCAGAACTTAAAGGGGGCTGTCTAAAAGAGGGGAGCAGCTTCCTACAATAGGACAAGAGGGGATGCTTTCAAAACAAAAGTGTAAAGATTTTGGTTAGATGTCAGGAAGTTCTCTAATCAGGAGGATTCCAGGGTTGCCCCATCCCTGGAAGTGTCCAAGACCAGGTTGGATGGGGCTTGGAGCACCCTGGTCTGGTGGAAGGTGTCCCTGCCCATGGCAAGGGGTGGAAGGTGGAAGGAGATGGGTTTTAAGGTCCCTTTCAGCTCAGACCATTCTGTGATTCTCCCTTGGTGTGGGAAGGGAAGTGATGGTGATGGGGACTGGTCAGTCGTGAGGTCCCCATGAAGAAGAGAGATGCATGAACTCTTTCTGCTCATTTTCTACTCCCCATCACCAAGACAGCATTCAGCTTTGCCTCTGCACACAGGTGGGAGGGCAGCTGTAGTGCAGACAGGAGCTTCATCACTTACAGAATGAGTTTATAAGGACTTGCCCTTGCTGGGGCTTTGAATGGATCCTTTCAGCTCAGGCTCCTGGTGTCAGGATACCCTGTTCACATTGTGCTCTGCCTGGAGATTCCCCATGCACCCAGGAATCCCTGAGGCAGGGCAAGCTGTTGTGTTCTACTAAGACATTTACATGATTGAGATGTGCAGATATGTATGTCTATTGCTTAAATTGCAGCTGTAGTTTTATTTGAAAACATTTAAAGTTGCCATCTTGAAAGCTCCTGTAATTTCAGTAGCAAATGATCCCCAAATTATTCATCTGAAGAGCTCAGTAGAGCATTTTGTCCTTCACCAACAAGATGTTGCTCTGCAAAGGACACTAGAAAAGCACCCCCTGAGTGGATCTGGTGTCAAAAGAGCACAGCAGCGTTATGATAAATTAATTCTACATGCAAGTGTCCAAGCTGAAGCCTGATGAAGCCACCAAAGCATCCAATGCTCCCTGCTAAGAGCAGTCAGCTCTGTTAATGACCACTGACAGCTAGATCTCCTCATTAATGCTCTCCTGGGATGCCAGTGGGTCTGCTGACACTTTGCTGGGGAGCAGAAGGAGGAGATGCTGAACCAGGAGGGCACAAAATCATGTACTGAGCCTCCAGCACCGCTTCCTGCAGCATCCAGGTGCTCCACAAAATCTTGCATCGAAGTTTTCCTACCCGCCCTCCCTCATCTCCCAAGAGTTGCCTGGATCCCAGCCTAAAGACAGGCAGATTCCTTCCCTCCAGACATCTGTAACCTCTCACAAGTGTGTGAACACAAAAATGGAAGCCTGAAAGTGAGAAAGAAAGGAAGAGAAAATGGGAACTGGGCTGTGAGTACTCCGTGAGCTTTAAGTAACGTGGTAAATGGAGCCGTGCTGAAGGGGAGGATAAAATGCTGGGGAAGATCTTCCATTTGTCAGAGAAGAAAGCAGTTTGGAGAGAGGCACTGCTGTGGAATCCTGCTCCCTTGTGCCATCCCAGCCAGCTACTCCACCACATTTCATACATTTGCAGCTCCTCAAAGAGGCCTTGCTCACAACAGACGCCTGCTCTTGGCAGCTGCTTAAAGCAGTCCAGATGGGATCCTTTTAAAAATTACAAACTGGTGTATCTCACTTTGGGACAGGAGCCAACAACAACAAGCCTTCCCTTCTTCTCCATGCATTTTCCATTTGTATCCTAACATGTTTACTTTGCTGCCCTTTACTCTAACTTTTTTCACTGTAACTTTCTGAAGAATTAGCGCAGACCTTTCATCTCTCTCTCAAGCAGCTGAGGCACCAGGAAGCTCTGGAGGAGCTCGGTTTCGCAGTCCTAAAGCTGACCAGGCTGCAGGATTTTCTCAGGCAGGAGACAGAGAACAAGGTGGGGATTAGCCAAGAGGAAACAAAGCCACAATGGGGAGAAAGTCTGTGAGTCTTGATGCTCTTCAGGGGTCCCCAGAATTAGGAGTTTTCTCTGAGTTCATCACACTCATCTCAGCTCCCAAATGGCAAAGGTGTGCACATCCAGCTTGGGAAGAAGCAATCAGTGCCAAGACTTCTGCATAGCAACAGATGCACTGGGATGATTTTTTTTTTCCCTGAGAGTTGAGAAATGGTGGCTTTGTTTTCCTTCTAGTCAACATTCCTCAGATAGTGGTTAGAAAGCAAACCAGTTGCCAGGTGTTTTGCTGCTGGCTTCCGGCAGCAAGTTCAGTAGCGCTGGAAACCATCGGCAGAGCCTGTGAGGGTTTGCTTCCCCTCCTCTCTTCTCTGCCACCCAAGTTTCTCTCAGAGGCAGGCAGGCTCACCTAGAAATTTCCCAAGTGTGCTTACTATCCGCAGTTGCAGCTCCAACAGCAGAGTAGGCCAGAGAGAACATCAAAGAGAAATGTAAATACACCAGAAAGGGCTGGTACAACCACTGAGAGTTACACAGGTCTGTGAAAAACTTGTCCAAAGGAGTCTTTGGAGATTTGGATCTTCTTGAAGCACCCAAACACCCACAATACAGCAGCTCCACTGTGCCAGAACCCCCCAGACTGCATCAAAAGAGCTCTGAGACTTGCTCATCCTAAGGAGCCAAAGTGCCAGAGACTGCTATGGAGCAGTCAAAAGCTGGAGGAGCTGGAATGTCACATTCTTCCATGGGGAGCAGAGAAACAGCCATCTCTGAGCTAGACTCCAGAGAAAACAGGACATCTTGACCCTGAGTGACTTTCACAACAGAATTTAAAAGGATAGTGTCTCTGTTAAGTCTTAAGGGATCTTTCTGTGGATGTTTTGGAGGGACCTCAGTCATAAATAAACTGGGTGATGTTATCTACCAGCCAAGCCATGAGCTCTGAGCTCGTGCTGGGGAGCATCCCAGCAAGGAGAGGAGTGTGTAAGTGGCTGTCTCACCTGGCTGATTGTAAAACAAGCCCACAGTGGTGGCACACAACCAAGGAGCCCATCCAGACCACCCGTGCTCTCACAGCAGCCCAGACAGCACTCAGCCAGGGTGGGGAAATGCTTGATTAAAGAGTTTGGTTGAACTGTCAGCAATAAAATTCAGAGGCAGAGAGCTATTTCCCATATTGTCGTAATTACATCCTGCTTGCTTAGTTTTAGGAATTGTTGAAAATAACCCCTTGCACCTGGTTACTTAAGGAGGAGAGTTAGACCAGGCAAAAACAACCACCAGAAATCAGGAAAGCAATGTGAAGAGTCAGTGAAACAAACAACAAAAAAAAATTGTTTAGTCTTTCTTTGGATGAAAAGGGAGTAAATTCAACAGAGGCTTTGACTTCCCATGACACAGAAGGACTGGATTGGGTCTGTACAGGAGCATCTGCTCTAAAATCTGCTGTTTATATTAATACTAACATTTTATTCACAGGGACAACAAGGTGATGACGGGAAGGTAGAAGGCCCACAAGGACCACCTGGAGACAGAGTAAGATGTTAAATCCCTTCTCTAATCAATCCTGGAGTGATTTTTATGGGTGGATTAGTTGGGTTGCAGCCTTACTTGTTGAGCATGCACAAGCCACTGAGATATTGCAGATGACAGCTTGTTTACATCCCCCTCAAGTCTTTTTGTGCTCTTTAGGGCCCCATTGGTGACAGAGGTGACCGAGGGGAGCCTGGAGACACTGGTTATCCTGTGAGTCTTATTCCAAATGCATGAATCAAAAATGTTTGCCTTGGGGAAGTGCTCCCAGTCCACATCAGCCCCAGTTCATAACCTGCTGTTGTCCCTGGTCAGCTGCTGCACATGGCTGTGATTCAGACAAGGAACAATTCAGTTGTCTTTACCTAAAGCAGTAAAAACATTGCTGAAGGCAAGGAAGTCAGCACCTCACCCTGCCCTGCACCTGCCTGAGTGAGGCTAAAAGAATGAGCAGGACCATGTGAGCACAGGTCTGTGTGATTATCAAGGAGACATCCCAGACAAGGTGTGTGCAAGAGAGTCCATATCAGTGCTGGATAAATTTCAAGACTGATGTACCCGTGGCTGTAGATTCTTCCATGGGAAGATCTGTGAACTTTAAGATTTGGAGACTTCCAAAATCTTTGCAAGATTTCTCTCAAAAGCAAAACCAGGGCTATGAATTATCCTGCTGTGCTCCTTATACCCTCTTTGCAGGACATTTTCAGATGATTGGGGCTGATCTGCAAAGGCTCCATAAATTGTTACCTCCATTCAAAAGCACCTGATCAGAGTGACCCATTACAGTAATTTACAGAAGATTTTGAATTCATTAGAGTAGCAGTGCTGCTGCCTTATTTTCTAGGACAGCTGTCTCCAACTGTTCACTTCCATTAGTACTGTGTGTATTTTGGGATGCATTAGAACACCTTCTTTGCTGCTTAGCTGGTGATGAGCAGTTCCTCTTTCCAAAGCATATCCACAGGAACATGGGCACTACCCACAACTTCATTTCTGTATCAGCAGAATGCAGGCACATGTGTCTCCTCCTGCCCCTTAAATCACGTTACATTCATTTTTCTTTCTCATTGCCACAAAAGAACAAAGACATGTTCCCTCTCTGTTTTTTTATTTAAGGGTCAGGAAGGGCTTGATGGAGAAAGAGGAAAACCTGGGCAGCAAGGCTTACCGGTAAGAGATGCTGTTTATTGTGAGGTACCCAATGCCTCAGGCAGGGAAGAAAGTGGGAAGTGGGAAGGGCTGCAGTTAGGAGTGTGTGGTGAGTGTGAAATGTGGACATTTCCATCAGCCAGGCCTATGGAATGGACATTTTGAGCCACATTTGAGACTTATAAATGGGTGACAAAATAGGGAGCACTCCCAGTGCCTGTTTCCAAAACCATCCTTTCTGAATGGTCCATCAGGGACTAGAAATCTTAGGAGATGGGTGGTGGGAGATGACAATGACACTGGGAAGGTCTGCTTGGTAGTGATCCATTTGATGTGCTGCTGGTCCAGTGTGAGGTGAAACCATATTATTCTACTTGCAGGTTGTTTACTCTCAAACTAGTGGAAGACTTTGTGAAAAACTAAATTAAATCCAAACTCAAGGGAAGGACTTGTTATTCCCTTGTTATATACAGTAGCATCTGATCTTTATATGTGGCAACTGTGAGTGCAGCAGCACATTAAATGTAGTTCATATTGGGAAATAAAGTTGAATCGATTCCCACTCTTTGTAAGGATGCTGGGAAGAGCAACAGACTCTATTTTGGGATTAAAATGGTAGTGCTCTGTTATATGGCCCAGAAATGAGTAGAGCTGCTGCATTCCCCAGTGGATGTCATTTATTTGGGGGTTGTAGCCCCTCAGATGATTCAGATGGAAGCAGGAACTTTGGATTGTCTTTAGTAAAGGTCCATTAGAAACATGGCTCAAAAAACAAGCTGAAAAAGGAGAGTTTTTGCAGGGAGTCCTTCCAAACTATTTATTTGATGTTAGTCCATAAATTGCCACTGACAGAAATATAGACCAAAAAAACAACCTGGCTGCCCAGGAGAAAAGGCTGAGATGGGTGTGATGGGGAAGAGACCAGCAAGAGAGCAGTGATTTACCCTCTCTGCTTTACTCCATAGGCAGTTTTCTAACACCTGACCCCCAGGTGAAGCCAAGGCAAGGGCTGCAGTGTGCAAAAGGGAGGTGGCACCAGCAGCCTCTGTGTAAAAACTGCTCGTTCTGCACACAGGCTCCTTTCTGCCCCCTTCCCAGCACTGCTGTCCAGGAGCCATCTGGAATTTGGTGAATGATTTCCACAAATACAGGCACCACCCAAGTGCAGGGCAGAGTTGCTTCTTCCCCAATGACACCCTGTTAAATTCTCTCTGGAGACAGTTCCTTGCTCCTTTTTCCCCAGGGGCCTGTCTGAGTACAGGCAGTTTCCCTGAATTGTTTCCATACAGTCAGCGTTACTAGGGCACAAAAAATGCTGTTCTTTGTACTTCATGCAAGACACTGCCAGAAGAGAATTTTAAGCAGATTTTTCTTGTTTATGTTTTGTAGGGAGATCCTGGATCACCAGGCAAGCCAGGAGCAAAGGGATCCAAAGGTGAAGTGGTAGGTTTCAGCAGGGTGGATTTACAGTGTCACAAGTTTAAAGAAAATCTCTAATTAAGAGGATTCTCATGGTTTTGCCCAGCATGTGGGATTTTTGCTTATGGTCTGTTCCTTGAAAGGCTGTGGAGATCCTTGTGGGATGGCTGTAAACTTTAAGCCCAGTGGTTTGTTTGCTTTGTGGAGCTGGGGAGGATTAAGACAATTCCAGCTCCAGCATGATGGGTGATTCTTGGGCAGGTCTTTAGTCCCTGCCATGGGTTGTGTCTCTTTCCCATGCCCTGTTTGTGCTGTCTCCAGACACAGCTGGCTCATCCAGCCCCAAGGAGGGCTGAGCCAGTCAAGAGTCTCTCCCTTTCATTTGAGCCATGAACTTCTCTGGCTTGAAACCTTCTGGGTTTGGAGTCCATTTATCCATGGAGTTGTTCCTTGGAACAATCCCTCTAACTTCTTGTCCTTATTAAGCAAGAAAACCCAGGACACATGGATCCTTCAAGGTTCAGTGGGGCACTTCATACCTACTCCTACCTCCACATCTGGCTGTAATGACAGCTTGTTAATTATTCTCAAAGTCCAGGGACTTTATTTGCTAAAACATAAGTATGTGACCTCAATACTCAGCAAATTCCTGCTCTCTCTTGGCAAATGTCAGGGTTTTTAATCTGACCCTGCTGGGGGTAATGCCAGAAGATAGTTTTAGGTCTTCTTGGCAAGAGGTGTACCAGGTGATAAGGTAAATAAATTCTTCCCATCGATAGACAAGCTGGAACTGCCTTTGGATCTAATGAATAGCAGGGGAAGCACCCCCAGGAATATTTCTTTCATGTAGCTGGCCAGTCTGGTCCTCTGCAGATGGAGAAACAATGCACAGAAAATGAGTTCTTCAATTTAAAAGTGCTTCAGTACATGACCTCGCTAAGAGAGCCCTAGTGAAGGTGATGAGGCTGAGTTTTCCATTCATTCTGCACAAATTAATCCTTTTTACAGCTAATAAACCTCAGGAGTATTTCTTTTCTGCCTCTATTCACAAAACAGCATTGCAAATTTCAGACAGAAGACACCCTTTTTAATTTCCATTAGCTCTCCAAAACAGAGTTACTTCTCAGAGAGAAGCCCCTCCCTGAACACCCTCGGAGGACTCGCTGGGTCCTGGGTTTGCTGTCAATAAACTGACAGAGCACTCAGGGTTTTAGCATCTTGTTCTAATGTTTGCCAGTGTACCAAGTCCTCCCTCGAGTTCATCCTGCTTTATTTGTCCTCATCTGCTCTGTATTAGGAAAAATGCAGGTCCTTGCCTTCTAGCTATTCATTCCTGCCCTAGAACTCTCAAGACATACGAAGAATCACTTGCAATAAAACCAAGTAGCAGTTCATTCCCCAGCACTGGAGCAACTGACTTTATAAATCTCCCTTTTATAAAACTCTTTCCAGTCATTATCCAAAAGCACACCCTGAAGTCACAGTCCCAAGTGGAGCCTGCAATTTTAGATGTTTTTGTTGTTTTTTTTTTACTTGCAGGGTCAAAAAGGAAAGCAAGGAGCACAGGGCAGTGCAGGGAGCAGAGGCTCACCGGTAGGTGAAAATTGAGTTTTCTGCCCCAGGAAATGCTGTCTGGGAGCTCCTTCTCTAATACCTTTGTGATTTCAGGGCATCCTTGGGCTACCAGGTCCTCGAGGAGTGGTGGGAAGGCAGGGTCAGGAGGGTGCCCCTGGAGTGGACGGAGTGCCCGGGAAGGACGGCGTGCCTGGGACGCTGGTAAGCTTCAACTTCAACCTTGTGGCATCGACAGCAAACACAGCGCTGGAGCTGGAGACCTGAAAGGTAGCACAGGACAAATCATGATCCAGTTATGGATATTCCAGTTTATATGTACCCAGAGTGGATCTTCTTCACATACCACTTGCACATAGAGGCAGCAGCTGCCTTTGCATGGCCAGATCTGTAAATAAAGTGGGGTTTGTAGCCTGACAGACACTCACATGCACACAACTCTGTCCACATCTGCAAACCCACCCCTGCAAACATATCCCCTTCTTGTAAGGGTAGAACCCCACCAGTCCCCTGTCCCCTCAGAAGCTGTGCAAAAGGTGAAAGGGTTTTGTTTCATAACCTCTTGTGTGTTTCCTTTCTAGGGAGAGCAGGGTGACGATGGGGAAGAAGGTGTGACCGGGATGTCAGGCAAGAGAGGGAACCCCGGCGTGCCAGGACTCCCAGGGGCCCAGGGACCACCAGGATTCAAGGTGAGTTTCTGACTCCCTAAGATGCTGCTGTGAGTGATCCAGTCTGTGAGCCTGATGCCTCTGAGCTTGAACTCTCCAAGGTCTAATGGTCTCAGTTCCTGTTTCACTTAGCTAGAGGCTCCGTGGATCTTTCTTTTCATCCTTCCCTCCCCTCCATCCCTCCATCCATTTTCCAGATGTACACAGCAGCTGAATGTTTTAGAGACCTTTCCTCCTCTACCAGAGGAGCCTGCAGACACACATACTCACACTACAAACACTTGAGTCTTTTATTATTAGAAACCTGGCTAGAAAAAACATGGAGAAGTTGCAGAGGAGCTGCTGCAGCCTGCCTGTAGGATGTCCAGAACAGATGACTCCATGGGAGATTCAGGTGTTCTGGCTGCTCTGCAAGACCTGAACTGCTGGAGGAAAATTTGTGCTTCTTGGTTTTTAGCATTATTACTGGATTAGAACTACTGGAGCCAGTATGGGCTTGGACATCACGCTGGGTGGGAGCAGGGACAAGCTGCTTTTGTCACTTTGGGGTTTCTTCCTGGTCCTTGCTCTGATCCAGGCTCACCACAGCATCTAAACTAGACCCACAGCAATTCAGTCGTTTGTATAAAGACTCTGTAAATAGGAAGACTCCAGCTGGGTTTGGAGAGGCTCTGGGATCTGATTTAAATTAGGGCTCCATAGCACATCGCCCTTGATCTGTCACTTGCTGCCCTCCAGCTGCCTTGGGCAGTACAACAGGAGGTGACTGAGACTGTGTCCTTGTCACACACTCACACCCTGCCTCCAGGGGAATTTGTTGCCCCTTTTCTGGCTGTTCCACCATCCTAGGCTCTCCCTGCCTTCACTCCTCTCTCCCAGCCTGCCCCAGATTGAGGAGCTGGAGCTTGTGCTGCTCCTGGTGCTTGGCAAGAGGAGGAGGTGGGGAGCAAAGCGTGGTGCTGGGTGGCAGAGGGCCCTCTCGGGATGGAAGCTGTAGAGTTAACACAGGGGAAATGTTGGCTTTGCATTGAAGTCCTGCTCTTGGCATGCCTTCAGCATTTTCCATGAATTAATCATCAATTGCCAGCCTGCTGGGGGAAGAGATTATGGGAAACTGTCGGGCAGGACACAGAACATAGGAAGTGCAAAGAGAAAACATTTGAGCCCCTTTCTCTGCCTCCCCCCATGCAGGTGGGAGAGCTCTGCTGAGGCTCCTGCTCTGTGGGCAGCCCAGGAGGGGACACAGCCATGCCCACCTTGGTCTCACCTGTGCATCCTGAACAACCTGCCTCAGCAAACCTGGGGCATCCCCTGGTGGAACCACATTCCTTATCCCAATGAGCCATCTTTTCCAGCCTTCCATCTATGGCTATTTCAGCTGAGTGCTGTTATATTTAGCTCCTGTCCTTTGGAATCACTTGAATTCTGTTATTTGTAGGGTGAAAGAGGATTGCCTGGACAGACTGGCCAAACAGGGAAGCGAGGATCACCAGGAGGAACGGGCCTTCCAGGGAGCCCTGGCGACCCAGGACCCAAAGGACAGCTGGTTAGTGGTGATGGAGCTGATCAGAGCTGACTCCAGGCTTCTCCTGCAGGAGAGGGTGCGGATCCACAGCCTTGGACAGCAGGGTGATCCTGGGAGGGTCTTTACAGGGGAGCCCATATCCAGCTTGAGCATGATTTTGGGAGAGAGGACTGATACGAACCAAGGCACAGAATGAACCCAAACTACCTCAACTGAAATACACTTGTCTGGCTATTTTACATAAAACCTCGTGCTAACAGTTTTCAAGATGAAAGGTAGTAACCAACACCACCATATTTAATTTTGTCATTGATCACAGATCAATCTCACAGATTATTTTGTCTCTGTGACACAAGTGACACATTCCTCTGCCCCTTATTGTCACTGTCTGATTTGCTGCAGGACTAGTGACCATGTCCCTTTGGCTGAGATGACTCCATGACATTTAAACCCTTCTGACTCGCCACGTGCTTTTGCCTGAAATTCCTCTAGAAAGGAGGCTTGGTTGATTCTCCTAATGCAGGAAAGACCTTAGTCCCCTGTTAGTAGCAATTTTCCTTTCCAGGACCCAGAAATGGGCAGTTAAATCAATTTGTATCCTTGGAAAGTTTCTTAGGCTCCACCAAGTCCAACCAATCCCTTTCTTGCCAAGCGGTTTCTCACTGTCATGACCTTTTTTCAAGGGGAAACTTCCTAACAATGAGGTTTATAGGCTGATGCTGGAACAACTGTGCAATAAAGGGGGTGGAAGTCACATCACTTGGGTCATTCACAATTGCAGAACAACTGAGTGAACAAGCCATAGTAATACACCCCAAAAAGTACAGTCAGAGTGGGTGAGACAGTCCTGCCAAAAGGCCAAACAAGCCTTATCTGTCTCTGATGTTCCTAACACTGGAGAAGAATCATCTGGTGAAGGTTTATGATCCCTTTTTTTTTTTTTTTTCTTTTAAACGTTGAACCATCTTGAATTTTGACATCTGAGAAGCCCAAAAATATCAAAGGATGACCATGTCAAACATGCTGAAAGGAGGATGTTTACATAAGGACAAGCTGCCCAGGGTGGATTTTTTATTCTCAGAGTACATGCTATGTGCTGATTCAAGCTTGATGGTCTTTCAACTATTTTATTATTATTTTTCTTACGAAATTAAGGAAAAATCCCCACAGAGTAGAATAGGAAAAGAATTAGAGGATATGCATGGTTATCCTGGGCTTGAGTAGGAGGTTATGTTGTAGGAACATTTTAACAGCTTGAATGAGCATAGTTTAAAAATACAGTTTGGATCAGTAGGTCAGTCCAGTTTGTATTAGAAATAAAAGAGGAGCTTGTTTTAAAGAACTTTGAGGCTGTTATTTTGCAGCATGAAATTCCAAGATAAAATCTCAGAATAGATGCTCTGCATCCTGCTTCTGCTGGGCCAAGCCAGAGAAGCATCTGCTAGGAATAGTGCAGGTTTGCCTCCCATTTTGGCGGCAAAAAGGTGGCATTGGTGAGATCTAAGGGATCAAGTGAGTTGCTTCGAGCCTGATGTTTGTATAGTTCCTCCTCCAGGGTTTTTTCCTTCTGCTTTCTCATCAGTCCTGTTTAGACTGAGGGATACTTGGAGATTTCTCTTTCTCTGGAGCTGCTGAACTCTTGGTGCATCTCTGAATGACATCCCCAGCCATCAGTGTGAATTTACTGTTGTCCTTTGTTCTTGTATTTGTCTTGGCTGTCACGTGCAGGGCGACTTTGGAGAGGCAGGATTTCCAGGGATTGCAGGACTGTTTGGGCCAAAGGTAAGAGGCTGCTGGGGACCAGTTGGTTTTCTAGTCTCACTTTACTGGGGACAGGCAGTGCCACACTTGTTGCATTTCTAGCAGCTCTGCAGAAACTATGGAAATTGAATTTTGATCCAAACTTTCTTTACTTCATGAATCTCCATTTGTTAAATGAGTGTGTGCTTACATATGCTTTGTTGGAGGAAAAAGGCTCTCCTAGAGATTCTGTGGCTGTTTTCCCTCTTTCTGACATTTATATTTCCAGCATGAACCATCAGCCTGCACCTGAGACACCGATGTGTACCCCTAACACTGAGAGCCTTGACTCATTTTATCAGCATATCATTTCCCAGGTGAAGAGGAAACTGTTTTCTGTCAAAAGCAAAATCCTTGCAAAACAGGAGTGGGAAAAGAATTTACAACAATTTGGATCTTCCCAGTCCCATAGACAAGAGGCAGCACCCCTGTCCTTAAAGCAGAGCTCTAAGCAAGGGCATAAACACAGGGCTTGGTGATTTAGTGGACTTCACATCTCATTTTTTGCTCACAGGGCCCCCCAGGAGACCTTGGGTTCAAAGGTATTCAGGGACCACGTGGACCACCAGGTCTCATGGTGAGTGATTTTCCAGTTTGTGGGTTTGGGAGGATTTTCTTCCTTTAGGCCTGTTTCTGTCAGGCTGCAGGGGCTGTGAGGAGCACAGTGACCACATCTGCACAGGGCTTGGAGACAGCCACGCTGCACAGAGCACTCCAGCCACACTGAAATCCTTCTGTTTATGGAATTTCTGAGGTTTAACAAGGCTCAGGACAACTATACTGTGAGGACTTGTCTCTTTGGACTTGCAGTTTGAAATGGTTTTTTATTCCAGATACAGCAAATACCACCAAGTTGTGAAAAGCAGCAGAGATTCAGTGTCTTCACTGAGTCTGCCCTAGTGGAAATGACTGTCAGGTCCCACGTGGTGGGTCACACATCTTGTCTTTTCTAGGGAAAAGAAGGAATTATTGGTCCTCTCGGCATTCAAGGTCCCACAGGAAGTCCTGTAAGTATCCACACTTTTTCCCTGCCTGTACTTTTTAGGAGTTTGTGTGAGATCCAAAATGCTTGAGGCCAGCATAAGTAACCTCCAAATCCTGCTATAATCAGGAAAACAAAATGGGTTTTAAGATCAGCAGCTTCAGAAAAGTGCAGGCTTAGTTTCTGGCTGCACAGATAGTTGCTGGCAGAGTATTAGCTGAAAAGTGAGGAGCAGCCATACATAAGTGCAAGATTTTCAATAGAATGGAAGACAAGACTTTTGAATGCCAGATTTTCCAAAGAACTTGGCCTGGGGTGGGGGAGGAACACATTTAAATAATTTTTTTTTTTTAAATGTATTAAACTGGGAACCACTTGATTTTGGGAAGTGGTGAAAATCCCTGCCTGCCCTAAAATGGCAAAGATGATCCCCACAGATGAAAGATCAAGTGAGCTCTTCATGAAAACACAAGCATAGCACCACTCAGAGCTCTGTCCAGAGGCTGCTACTGGCAGAGATAAAAACCAATAAGATGAGCTCAAACATTGCCAAAACAGGCAGTAATGACATTTTTTGCTTTGGGATGGGGAGGCCAACGTGACAAGCTGAGCTGATGAGTTAGAGATGCACTGGAGTCCTTGCAAGGAGCTTCTGGGGGGCAGCACCCAGCAAGGCAGGTTGTGAATGGTCGGTGACAGCCACCTCCTGTGCTTTGCAGGGGCCCAAGGGTGACAAAGGCAGCCGTGGGGAGATGGTAAGTGCTGGTCCCACCCCGGTGCCCCTAAGAGGGTCCCTGACTTTGAACAGTCAAGAGTCACTCCCGGCTCTGCTGTGACCACAGGCTCCCACGAGGGCAAGACACTGATTACAGACGTGCACACACATCCACACTACTCTGCTGGTAAAATTTCCATTTCCTTAACCCAGCAGCACTTCACCATGCTGTCCACAGCTGTGGTATCTCCAGTACAGCACCCAGCCCTCACACAGGTGCCTTGGGAACAGCACAGGGAGATTTGGGATCAGTAATGAGCATTTTCTGACAGCTTCTCCACTTTTTTTTTTCACCCTGCAGGGTCTTCAAGGTCCAAGGGTAAGTGTCTGACACCCCTTTTTCTGACTGATAGTTTGTATTTGAATAAAACAGTTGCTTTTAGCAAGTGTATAGCTGCAGGGTGGGTGATTGCACACATGGAATGTGATGAGTACCTGGGGACGTGGCATTAGTGACAGCTGAGGAGCTTAACGGGCTGGGAACAAGGGATGCAGCAGGAATAGACCAGGTGCAGACAGATGTACCCAGAGCAGGGGCAAAATGGGGCCACCCCCTTGTCCTTTGAAAGTTTTGGGGCTGCTGTGAGGTGTCAAAAATCCAGCTGGGAACAGATTCCTGCTGGTAAAAAACAGAAATGGAAATAAAAACTGAAGATATTTCACTAACTGATGCCACTCTGTCTTTAGGGTCCTCCAGGCCCTCAAGGACACCCTGGCCCTCCGGTACGTAGATGTGGGAAGGGTTCATGACTGAAAGAAGCTGAAATGATTGCTGTGATGCTCTCCAGAGGGACTGCTCCCTCCCTGGAAATTACAGCTTAGCCCCATTCCCCATATGCAAAACCATGTGTGTGAATGGACCAGTGTTTCTTGTGCTTTAGTCCAAACCATCCAAGAGTTTCATAGAGCCAGCATTGTTGCCTCTCTCACTTCCCTCCACGGGAAGGGGGATTTCAAAAGGCCATGGCTGAATATCTGTGCAACAGTGACTGCCCAGCTTTCTGGCTGATGCCCCTTTTTTCCCCTCTGCTTTCCAGGGACTGCCAGGAGTTCCAGCCTCATTTGTAAGTTGCCATTCTCTGTATTTTTGTTAATGATGATAACAGGTCCTGCAGGGCCCATTGAGACACACACCAGGTCCTGCTCTGTCAGCAGGGCAATGCTCAAACTGCAGCCTTAGATTGAGAAGTGTTTTCCTGTGTCAGGGCATGTTCATTTTCTAACAGTCTCAGTTTCCATCCTTTTCACACCACACCAGCAGCAAGATGGCTTTGGGGCAGCTTTCCAGACACTGATCGACTCCAACACCGCGCTCAAGAGAGAGGTACGAGGGGAATTTTTTAACTCTCTGGCCTTTGCTTGATCTGGAGACTGGGAATGGTCTCATCAGTGCTTTCTGTGTGCAGAAAATTTATACAAAGCCCTGATTTGTCACTGTTCTAGTGGAATATCCGGAATTTATGCAGGCAAAGGTCCAGTCAAAGGATATATTTCTGTTGTGTCACTGATTTGTGAAGCTTCAGACCTCCTGACTTTGCCATTGTGACTTTGCCAGCATTTCAGCTATGTTCTGTTTGGGACAATACAAGGCCTGTGGCTCACTGGCCCCATGCCAGCACAGCCTTTGACCACTGATTTTTCTCAAAATGATGCAGAAGCCCTTGTGGTTGTAGCACCCGGTGCCCCCAAGGCACCCCTGACTGACCTTCTTGTCTCTCCAGGGTTACCAACATCCAGACCTTCTCATGCTGGACCATGGAGGGGAGATCTTTAAGACTCTACACTACCTCAGCAACCTCATTCAGAGCATCAAAAGACCCCTGGGAACCAAGGAAAACCCTGCGCGCATCTGCCGGGACCTGATGAACTGTGAAGAGAAGATGACCGATGGTAGGAAGCCCCAAATGTGCAAAGGCTGCATCCTCCACAGGGCTGTTTCACGTGGTCTCCTTCCCTGGGCCCAGTCACAAAGAAACCAAAACTCTCATTTGGAAAGGTTAAGTGCCCTTGTTAATCCCTGAACCCTCCATTTCCTCAGGTACCTACTGGATTGACCCAAACCTTGGCTGTTCCTCAGACACCATAAAGGTCATCTGTAACTTCACCAACGGTGGCCAGACGTGTCTCAGCCCTGTCACTGTCTCCAAGGTAGGCACAGCTCAGCCCCACACTGATGTTGCCCAATATTGACGCAGCGTGTGTTGTCCCAGGACACCGGACAGTGACCACGAGGACACAGCGCACAGGCTGGGGGAGGATTAGTGCAGCTCCAGCACCCAGAACTGCCCTCAGGAGTTAAAAAATACACCTAAGGCTGTTATTGGCTCTTGTCAAGACAAAGCCATGTGTTACAATGATGTTTAATGAACCCACAGGCTTAACATGACCGGTAATTTCACAAACATGCTGCTCCCAAATCCTTTATTGACCTATGTTTGGGTCACGCTCGCATTTTGTTTTCCGGCACCTGGAGAAGCGAGATCAGCTTAAATACACAAGTTTCCAGTGAAGTTACTGCTATGGGATTTTTGTTGAGGAAGTACCTGTACTAAAAATACAAATAGCAATATCTGGGCTCATTTGCAGATGAACTGGAACCCACTTTGCAAGTTGTATTGAATTTAAAGTTTACATGCTTTTCTTCCTACTCAAGGACCTTCCAGTTTTTTCTGCAAAGCAAAGGACCTGCTGTGTCCCCATGAAAACTTCCCAAAATGACTTGGCATCTGTCCCTCCTGTCCATATTCACCTCAGATCCAGCTTTGGAGCCTGGTGCAGACCGAAGCAGAGGACAGGGACCCCCTTTGCAATCCCACCTTGCACTATCCCTGCTCCCCTCAGCCCCTCTGCAGGGTCCCCCTATGACCTCTCTGTCACCTTACAGCTGGATTTTGACATCGGGAGAGTCCAGATGAACTTCCTGCGACTGCTGAGCTCGGAGGTGGTGCAGCACATCACCATCCACTGCCTGAACACCTCTGTGTGGCGCGAAGGCTCTGCTGAGAAACCCTCGGAGAAAGCCGTGCGCTTCAGGGCCTGGAACGGGCAGATGTTTGAAGCCAGTGGGCAGCTCAGGCCAGAAGTGGCAGCTGATGATTGCAAGGTATGTTGTTGTGAAAGAGGGGAGAAGAGATGGAGAGAGATCCCAGAGCCCACTCTGGGGCTCACGTAACACCTATGCTGTTCATCCTACAAGGGAGAAGGATCAGGTTTACCAGTTCTCCAGTAATTTTCCAGTCTGGGATGCTACAGCAGCTCCTGTGAAGCAGATGGCCTTCAAATAGAAAGCAAAAGATGAAATTCTGAAGTTACCGGTCGTGGATAGCAGCAGTTAAATGAGAGAAGAGGAAATGGCTCCCCATGGGTGGTGACCCTGGCTCTTGTCTGGTGCCACGTGGAGTCAGGAGACACAGGGCTGCATTCGGGCCCACAGCATTAGGAGTTTGTCTTGGTGGTACCACTCCAGCTCAGTTTCCATCAGCCTGATAAAGGGTTCCCCAAAATGCTCTCTAAACCCACCCCAGCCCTGCTCAGCCCAAGGGACAGCCCCTTGTCTCACAGAGGGATTTTCAGGCTTACAGCTCATGGAATACATTCCTTTCCAGCAGGGTTCACCCCCTGGTTAATCAGTTTTCTCTCTGTCCCCCCTCCCACACAGATCAAGGATGGGCGCTGGCATCGGACCCTCTTTTCCTTTCGGACACAAGACCCTCAGCAGCTGCCAATTGTCAACATCTACAACCTGCCCCCGTCCGAGCCAGGACAGCAGTATCACCTCGAGGTCGGCCCCGTCTGCTTCCTCTGAACCAAGCTATGGAACGCGGGCTCTGAGGCTCCAATCCCGCCAGTGGCCTGTCCTCACAGGGGCTCTCCCCCCTCTCTGCAGCAAGGACAGCTGGGCTGTATCTTTTGGGTCAACTCTTGCTCCAGCCTTTGGCTCAAGGTCTCCAAGAACCCATGATCTACTGAACTCAGCCAGTTGTTGGAAGGAGGAAGAACAAGGACGTGGGGGAAGCGGGCATCAGTCAGGATGTGAGCAGTGAAAAGGGAGCAGGGGACTGGATGTTGTGGTTCCACACACAAAGCCTTTTCCATGACCAAAGAAAACATTGACAGAAACCTCAAGCGACTTGCAGCGTGTGGGTTTTTTCGTTCTTTCCCCCCCCACCCACCCACCCCACCCACCCATTTTTGTCTGGTTCCTGAGTTACCAAATGCTCTTTCCATTGAAAAAAAATAATTAAAAAAACAGAGCTTCCCTCAGAGCTTGTCACCTTCTGGACAGCCACATGCTGCATCAGGTCTCCCAGGCGGAGCTGCAAGTTGAATCTGGCTGCTCTGTGTACAGGAAGCATTTTGATGTGCAATATTAGAAGAAACAAAATATATATATTATATTATTTAAAGCAGAAAAAAAAAAGAAAAAAAAAAAAAGAAAAAAAAAGCCAAGTTCCTCCTTCCGTGAGTTTAATCAACATTCCCCCTCTCAATGTGTGGTGTTGGAGTAGGGGAGAGTCATGAAGCAAAGAAGGGGGAATGGAAAGAGGAGAGGGGAAGAGATTGGTGCTAAAATAGAGAGAGGGAATGGGCTCATCTGATTTGTTTCTACCTCTCACTGTGAAATCTCTGGTGCTCTTAAAAAAGTGTGTTATTTTATATATATGACTTTATTTAAGGTTGTGAAGGTGCTACAATGTCTTGCCACAGACCCAAAAAAACAAAAAGCCCCATAGAATAAAGCCCTCTCTGGGAAGAGAGGAGATTATGTTCTACAGTTAAATCAGAGAAACAGCCATCCTTAAAAGGGATCCTTCAGTGGCCATGGGTGTCAATAACACAACTCACACCAAAGCCAACATCACTTACGGGAAAATTTACAAACAAATTTGCTTTTTTTCTTTTTTTGTTCATCAGCACTTCACTACTTTGGGAGGGGAGTGAAGGACACAGCTCATCCAGAAGTGTTGAGTCTCAGAGAGCTCCTCTGGAGTTGGTTGAGTTGGGCTGTACTGAGTTCCCATATGACTCCCTGGACTAAGCTCACATTTAAACCAAGCTCTGCAACTCTTCCCTCGGCCCCTCTGTCAAGACTGACATGATGGTACCTTGTTTCAGAATCCAGCTGAGCTTGGAAGGGTTTTGTTTTGTTAAGTTTTGTAGAAATTTAGTCTCTATATGTAAATTTGGAGGATTTTTTTTTTTTTAAAGAGGATAATTATGGTAATCTTTAATTCTATATAAGGAATAATATTGATGTAATCAGAGCTGTACTGTATCAGAAACTCTTCAGTGCCTGTTTGGAGTTTTCATGTCTCATATGGACTATGGATTTTATTTTTTTTGAGGGAAAAAAAATTATCTGTGAGTCTCTCTTCGTGTATTTTTATTTTTTTTTGTCACTACTGCCTGCTGGTTGGTTCCCAACCACCATCAGAAAAGGTTAACAGGATCTGTCCCTAATACCTCGCCCTCCACGCAGCCCCTGCCAGAAATACCTCATCCCCAGGCCAAAATCACCACCACCCATCATTTGCTGCCTCCCTGCACACCCCCCATACTCCAGATCTCTCCATTTCTCATCCCATGCCATTGATTTTGTGTTTTCTCAAGGCTGCAGGTACCATTAGTTCTTCTTAAAGCTTTTTTTTTTTTCTTTTCTTTTTCCTTTTTTTTTTTTTAAACTTTAAATAAATATTTAAAACTGAGGCAATGGAACAGGACTGGAATGGTTTGGTTTTTTTTCTTTTTGGTTCTTCATAAAAAAACTAGGTGGGCAAGAGGTGCAAAAATACCCCATCTCCCAGGGGTTCCCCCAGGTGACCTGAGGAGCCAAACCCACACCCCATACTTTCCCCTGATGCCAAATGCACAACAAAATTGGGATGCCCTTGGCTCCCAACTGCGCTGCCCCATCCCAGTGCCCATCCTGCCACAGCGCTGGGGAGCAAGAAGGAAAAAAAAGTAAAGGGAAAATGGGATGGGGGGGGAAGGAGGATGGGAGAGAAAAGGAGAAAGATGAGGGCAAGAGCAAGGGGCAAAAGAAGAGGGCAGCAAAGGGAAAAAAAATCCTGTTTTGTTTGGGACAAAAAGCCCAGGAGCTGCCTTGGCCGACGCCGGTTGCGACAGGGGCAGCGGGAAGGGCTGAGTCGTGTTTGCCCAGCTCTGCTCTGCCCCTTCCCGGCACTGCTGGCACCAAAACCCGGCCTCGTACCTGCCACAGGTCCTGAAGCAGCTGCTGAGGGCAGGGTGAAAGCAAACACGTTCCATTAATTAATCACCACACTTATTTACGATGCCAACATTAGAGGAGCTGTATGGTGCTGTTAAATAGGGAGATGCTGCGTTTAAAGTTAAGTTTCAATTTATATGTTTTAAAAAGTCTGAGCCCACTGCACTGATGAGTTCCCTGCCTCATAGCCATGGTTACCCCATGGAATCCCCCATGGCATCTGCCCTCCCTAGGGCACACATGAGCCCTTGTGCAAGCCCCGTGTCCCAAGGGGAAACAAGCGTGGACCAAAGCTCTCAGGGCTGCCAACCACTCATCCCCATAAGGGCTCATTTGCCCTGTGGAGGAAAGCCATGTCCTGCTGCCCTCCGTGTCCCCAAACACACCTGAAGCTGCCAAGCACTTTGCCAGGCACCCACAAAATTAATTGCAATTTCTGAGAACAAAAGCTTGCACTGGGGAAGCATTCGTTTGGGGGAGCAGGGGGTGTTTCCTCCCTTTGTGCTGAAGAAATCCAAGATTTTGCAAGTCGAATTTCCTCCACCTGCTATTGCTTCATGCCTGAGCAAACAGCAGTGGAACAGGCACGTTGGTGCTGGAGATGTCCAGCATTGCTGGCAGCCCTATATAAGGGACAGAGCTCAGCAACAGCCTGGCAGAGCAGGAGCATCCTCCTGGACAGCCAGGAGATGTTGGCCACCCTTGCCCTCTTCCTGGGGCTGCCCCTCGCCCTGGCCACCGAGCCCCAAAGCTGCACCCCGCCGATCACGGTCACCTTCAACAACACCACCATCCCTCAGGTAAGCCCTGCCCTCATCCAGGGCACCCTCCATCCCTATCAGCCCTCGTGGATACAGGAGGAGGTTATGGGAGGAGCATTGGCAGCTCAGTGTTCATCTCACTGCCTTGTCCATGTTTGTTTTCCTAAAAAAAATCCAGACTGCTGCACAGGAGCACAGGGAAGGGGTGAAGCCTTGCAGCTCTGCACCCACAATCTCATGAGCAGGCACTTTTGGGGGTTCCTGCCTCCATCTCCCTGCAAACCAGGCTGGGCAGCACCATCCCAATGCCTCGCTGCTCTGTTTTAAGTCCTTCAAGTGTTGGTGGCTCAGGTCACAAGTCTCCATCCACAAACACTTCGCTGCATAAACAACATTTAGTCCCTTGGGAGCTTTTAATGGGAGGAAAGCAATGACAGCCTGGCACAGAGCAGGAGAAACACCATTGCAGAAAGAACTGGCCACCCTGGGAGCGGGGGCAGTGCCTTAACAGAAAGGGGACAAAACCCAGAGACCCTCACCCAGCCGGGATCCTGCCCAGGGCAGTCACCTGCATGGGGTGCTCCTGGCTGTGGACAGCAGGACACAGCATTTGTTTTCACTCATGGGGTGCCTATGGGTGAACCTGGCACAGCCCCTCCAACCTTCCCCACTCTGCTCCCCTCTGCAGCTCCTGGGATGGTGGTTCTACATTGCTGGTGCCTCCAGGTATCCCCCTCACCTGGCAGAGATGGAAGCAGTGACATTTGAGGCTTTTTCTTTCACTCCTGGTAGCCAGGAGGACGAGCTCAACATCTTCGAAATCATAAGAATGTAAGGAGAGGGATTCACGCCCTAATCTGGCTCCCCCATCCCCAGGGGCATTTCTACCCTCTGGTGTCATCCTCTGGGCTGAGACACCCCACACATTTGGGGCTGGAGAGCAGCTGTGTCCCATAAATAAAAGCTCTGCAGTCCTGCTCGTGTTCCAGACCCCTGGGGTTTGCTTGGGGCAAGCTTGGGGGTATTTTCTCCCTCTGACCTCTCTGCCCCACAGGAATGAGACGTGTGTGGTGAGGAACTCCAGCAAGGTCCAGGTCTTTCAGCAGAACTCCACGATGAAGCACGGTACAGCTCCAGTTGTGGCACTGGGATGGGGTGGGGGGACTCAGCCCTTGACCTCTCCTGCTTCTGCCTCCCAGTACTTGGCACCCAGAGCCTTTTACACCTAAAATCATGTCTGGAGGTGGGGGAAAAATATTTCTTCCACCACACACCACATCTATGGCGGTACTGAGGGACCAGAGTGGTCCCCACTGGGATGAGTCACAAGGATAAAAGGTGATGAGCCTCAGCATAGGGTGGATGCTCACCAGTGGAGAAATCTCACTCTCTCCATACCTTCCAGTTGATGAAAATGAGGTGGTTTCTATGGCCAGACTGATCCAAAGTGACAAAGACCTGCTGATCCTGAACCACATCAACATTGACTTCCCGAATCTGAGTCTCTCAGGTGAGCAGATGCTTCCCCAGGGACAAATCAAGGGCCATGGACACCTCCAATCCTCACAAGCAAGGCAAAAAGCCCTTTTCCCCTGATAGAGGGGAAAGAGGGACAGGCAGTGAGCTCCCCATCCGCACTATGGGGATCACCCAGGAGCAAAGCAACACTAAAACTCCACTTCTTTTCCCCCCCTTCTCCATTTCTCCGACAGCACGGACACCCAGTGTGAGCAAGGAGCACATGGAGGAGTTCAAAGCCCACCTGCAGTGCCTGGGCTTCACTGAGAAGGATGTGTTCTACACTTCCACAGAGGTACAAACCCCTGCTGGGGGTGGATGAGCCCCAGGTTCTGTTTCCAGTTGGGTTGGGGTCTGGGGGGGAATGTAAGTTTAGTCCCCCAGCACAGCTTCCCTGCTGTGCGCCCCCACTCCTCCTTGAGCATCCTACCCCAGCCATTCCTGGTGGTTCTGGGTGAGGGAGCTCCAAGAGCCGATCTCCTCTCTCCCACAGCATGCCTGTCCCCTGCCCAGGGGTGGAGACAATGCAGATCCACAGCTGGGGTAACCCCCATGGACGGGTTACTTCCTCCATCCTCATCCTCCCCCAGCCCAGCCACGTTCAGCACAGCCTCAGAACCTCTTATCCTATCCATGTTTTGGTTTTTCCTCCTGAATTAAACACCCAGTTTCACTCTTCTCAACTGGCCCCAAAATAAACTCCTGTGTTTCAACCACTGGCTGCTCCTGCTCCATCTTCTCTGGGACCCCCTCCTGCCTGCCCTGCCCATGGTGCTGCATCTCCAAACCCACCCAGAGATGTGAAATGCTTCAGAAAAAACCCAGCCAGGGCCAAGCGTGGCAGTGGGCACAGAGGTGCTCATCCCTCACGCTCTGTGGTGGCAGGGGACCCTCCCAGCCTCAGGACACTGGGACATGAGCACCCACCCATCAGGGTGACACACAAACCTGCCAACCCCCTCGAGTCTCCCCCACCACAACACTCTGCACATCCCCACCCTCTGTTTTCAAGCCAAATCCCACAAGGCTCCATCCACACCACAGGCTTGTGCAGGGGTCACTGCAGGGTGGGGTGACAAGAGGTGACACTGCACCTTCCCCAAGTGTCTCTGAGGAGGGGAAAGGATGAGAGGACAGGAAAAACCATCACCCAGAGCCAGACCAAAGTGTTCAAGGGGCTCTGCTGCCAGAGAGGAAAAGGCACACAAAATGCCAGAGAAACAAGATGTCCCTGTCTGACAGTCCAAGGACAGCAGCAGGACGGGAGGGTCAGGGATGCCACAGGGGATGTGTCCAGCAGGACAGGGGTGACCTCTGAGACCCATAAACACCACTTTTAAGTCCAGTTTTGGCAAGGACAGCAAAAGCACCTTCTCTTCAAAGCCCCCTTGGGCTTTGCCTGGAGTGGGGTGGGGGCGTCTGCAGCCAAACCAGCACTGGGAAGGTCGCACATCTCATTAGCAGAGCAAGAGGTGCCTACTGCAGCTGCTCACAGGGGGGGAATGGGCACTTTTCGGGCAGATTTAAGTATTAAATACAGTAAGTGCATCCCTAACAGCCCACTCCTGCCAACACTTGCCGACAGCAGCCACATCCGAGGCCGGGGCAAGTGCCAAGCACGTGGCTCTTCCCTGGGCATCGCCCCCGAAAGGCACCGATTGCGACACGGGCGCAGATCCGGCAGCCCTGAGGACATCGTGTCCCCTCCCGGCAGAGCTGCAGGAGCCAGGAGAGGCCGTGTATGCAGGGCTGTGCTCGGACAGAGTGCTCGGACAGCCATGGCCACGGCGGGCACCGCGCTGCTGCTGCTGAGCCTCGCCCTGCTGCCCGCGGATGCTGCGCCCTGCGGAGCCCAGCGCCCCGACAGCTCCACGGCATCCGAGGTAGGAGAGACTGCGAGCCCCGGGGGCTGCCCCTGCCTGCCCGGAGCCCGGGGCTGCTCTGCTGAGCCTCCCGTCCCTTGGGAAAGGGGAAAACCTCGCCTTGTTCCCACTGCTCCCCCGGCACATCGGCCACGGTGCTGTCAGGGAAACACCTGCAACAAACGGGAAGCGTTTGGTCCCCGGACACCCCGAATGAGCCGCTTTTCTCAGGTTCCCAACAGTGACCTTGGAACAAGGCGGGTGGGCTGGGTGTTTTTGGTATAAATCCCCCGGGGCTGTCCTGACCCTGCCGAAGCACCCCCGTCCTTCACAACCCCCACGCTCAGCTATATTTCTTTTTTCCCCCGGTTCATTTGGAAATATTTCACCTTGTCGCTGCAAATGCCAGAGGGAGAACTAGCAGCACTATCAGTTTTGCCACGGGGAGGGTGGAAATCTCAGAGTTTCTGCTGTCACCACCCTGTCCCTCCCTCCCCACAGCTGCTGGGGACGTGGCTGTACCTGGCAGGGGCTGCCCAGTTCCCCCAGCACCAAGTGGAGATGCTGCTCATCGATCACGCCTTCCTGCGCTTGGAGCCCGGTGCCAGCAGGCAGCAGCTGCTCATCAGCCACTACGTGGCCGTGTAAGATGCGGTCCCTGTGCCCTCAACCCATCCCCTCCCTGCTACAGCCCAAAAATCTTTTAGCACAAGGTGCAAGCAGGATTCCAGATTGTCTTTTGCAAAAGGAGTCTCTCCTGCCCACTCTGTGCACCCTCTGCCCTCTCTTGTCTCCCTCATCTCCTTTATTTACTTATTTATTTGGCAGACCGCAGGTTCAGACAAGTTTTGCAGGGCACAGGGGCCTCACGGGCACCAAGCCCTGCAGGCAAGGAGAAGACCTCTCCAGAAGTCCCTGTGCCACAGCTGCTGACTCTGCCAGGCACCCAATGCTGTTTCCCCCACAGGCTCAGAATTTCAGGGGATGACTTTTTTCCGTGCCAACGCAGGCAGCACTTTGAGGTTCCAGTTATTTCAGGGTGGAAAACATCTGACCACCAAGGGGTGGGCGAGCAATGGCAAGGCTGAGACCACGAGCTGCCGCTGGAGGTCAGGAAAACGCACGGGAGAAATGCCTTGATTTTAACAGCGACAGGAATTAACCCTGGGCAGGAGGTGGCAGGTGCCCGGGGTGGGGTCAGGACCAGGGCCGGAGCTTTGCTGGTCCTTTCCAGACCATGGCATCAGCCCCTTCCCCTCTCTCTCTCCAGGGGGGACCAATGTTTTACCAACAACCTCACCTACCTGGAAGTCAGTGTCGGTAATGCCACGCTGGTGAAGGACGGTGAGCAGCACCAGTGGGGTTATCACCCAGCCCACGGTTTCACATGGATTGACACACACAAAGGGCCCATGTCCCTGTTTTACATTATATGATGCATTTTATTCCCGAGTCTCTTTGCCTGTTTGAAGCCCTGGTGAGCTCCAAACAGCTCCCCAAACCCAGGGGCACCCAGGTTATTCCAGCTCCCAGGGATCACAGCCCCACTAAACCCAGAGTAATGCTGTGCCAGGAGCAAACCTGCCCCCATCCCTGCAGGAGAGCACCATCCTGCTGGTGAAGTTATTTCACAGTCCCTTGGGGGAAGGAGGGAACACTCATGGCAGGTTTCAGTGAATTAATGAAGCCTCTTGTTCTGAGCTGATTCCTCCTTGCTGAGGAAGTGGGGTGAGCCAGGCTGGGGTGGGAATTGCAATCCCCTGGCACACAGCTTGTTCTGACCCTTCAAACCCTGAGTCCCAACACTCCCCATCATTCAGCACATCCCAACAGCAGGACACGAGCTGGGGGACTCAGGCTCTTTCACACTCCAGCCCCATTTTTAATAAATACAATTTGTATAAATGAAGAGCCAAAAAAAATCACCCTATTTCAGGACATTTGTCTTCACCTGCTACTGGGGGTTGAATCCCAGGGAGTACTGACATTGTCCACACCTGGACTGGAGTTTATTGCTGCTGCAGCACTGAAAATCTGAGTTATTGTATCTGTTCTCTCCAAGCCAAGACCCAGCAAACTGAGGGGATGCTGATGAACATGAGCTCTGAAAACCTTTTACTCATCCAGTACCAAATGCAGAAGGACAGGACGTATTTGGGGCAGTATCTCTATGGTATGAAACTCCATTCTAAAGTAATTTAAAGCTATCACAGCACACCTGAACACACACACAAAATGATCAACTAAAAACATACAGCAACTTGGTTTCACCAACAGTCAGTGATTTTCCTGAGAACAACACTGCAGGGGTCATAGGATTTGCAAACCCCACAACCTCTTGGCGGAACAGGAAAGAAAAGCAAGTTAAAGACCAAATCAACTTACACCATAAATATTCAAAGAACAGGAAGCAAATACAATTCAGTATCGGTATCATTGTAAAATCTCAAGATTTTCAAGCCAACCATGATGTTTCAGGATTTGTCTCCCAGGGCAGAGCACGTGGCTTTGCAGTGCTAAAGCTGATCAGATTTAACCACAAACCCATAAAGCAGCAGTTTTGACCCTGATAATGCTCCCCATTATCTTGCCAGGCTGCAAAGCAGTTGCTTAAGAGATTTTGAAGTATAGAAAACTGCCTCCCTACAGGTCCCTCCTGACACCCCCAGGAATATCAAACCATCCTGCAACCCCTTAAAGCATACAGGGCCAGAAGGAGAGGGTTAAACAAGTGGTGCCCAAGGTTGGTTTTGCTCAGATGTGTTCGCTCTGGGGGTGAGAGACCCCCACACAGACCACATCCACAACAAGCACTGCTGGGGAAGGGGGGCAGCAAGGACAGGGATGTGACACAAAGGGTGTGCTGAGGCCACCAGTCCATATCTTAACACCTGACAAGTCCTTCTCCTTCTCCAGCCCGGAATCTGAGCATAAGCACAGCGGACCGGGAGGAATTTGAGCACCACGTGGAGTGCCTGGGGCTGAGGGCAGAGCAGATCGTGTATGCACCTTGGAAAACGGTACTGGGCACTCTGTGTCACCAAAACCACCACAGCCCTCTCCAGGCAGGGCTGCAAGACCCCAGGCTGCACCTCCAGCTGCCAAACTGGGGTCTTGGAGACATGATTTTGAGGTGTTGGAAATGATTTAGAGGAATAAATAACCACGAGCTTGCTTCAGCAGAGGTTTAAAATAGCAACCCTAAAGCAAATCCACAGGGAACCCTGGTAACAGCCTGCCTACCCCTGCCACGGGGGAAATAGACATGTGATTTTTGCCCTGAAATTACTGATTTTGCCTTGAAACCTCTGATTTTTCCCCCACAGCAAGGACCAGCTGCCCCCAGGAGCTGCAGAAAGGGCAAGAGGCCCCTGGGATTTTTTCCTTCATATTTTCCACCCTAACATTAACCAGGTCCAGTCCTCACTTCTGCCACTCAATTTAAGACATTTTATCCTGTAAATGACCCAGACCCTGAGTCAGCTCGACAGGGGCTCCTGTTTGCAAAGTGAAGGTGAAAGACATCTTACCTTTGCTGCTCTGTCCTGGTCATCTGCTCATCCACATCAGCAGGCTCCAAGCCACCAGGGTGGCTCCAACATTATCCCAAACAATTATCCAGCCTCAAGAGGCTGCTTTTAAAACTTCCCCACAGGTTCAGAGGAATGGAGGACAGAGACAGAGAGTGAAACCCTTGGAATGGGGCTGCACTTGGGGCTGGGGCAGATCTCTCCCATTTAGCAAATGAGCAGCACCTGGGAGGCAGAGCCCAGCTCCTCTACATGAACTGCACACAGCTGTGGACTGGGGGGGTTTGCAGTCTCTGGATCACATCTAAATTTGGGCAAGATGAGAGGAATTAGTCAGGACTGTCTGTGCTTACAAGCTCTGGTGCAACTGGGGATGGTAGTTACTGGCCAAAGTTAGCCACTGCACCTGAGGAGTAAAAAAATCGATTAAACAAACACAGAAAACATTTTGGGGATCTTTGTCACCAGGCTGAAGGAGATGGATGTGAACAGAGCACTGGAGCAGGCTCACAAAGCCCTGTGTCAGCTGCAGGCATAACAGAACTTCACTTACGCTGAGTACCTGAGCAGCACAAACTTTTTATTTATTTCCCACTAAGTCTAAAGTTCCTCCTTTCCTTCAGAGCACACAGAGCCCAACTTTGCCTCAGAAATTGGTTTCCTCTTTCCAGCACAGGCCTGGAAATTGGCACCAGCAGGAGCTGAGCACCTGGGCAAGTACTGTCTGTGCCTGGGCCAGCTCCTCTTAGCAGATTATATCTAAAAGGGGAAATGAAAATCCTTCTTTCTTGAGTAAATTCTCTCTTTCTGGTGCCTTGGTAGATTCACTTACCCTGCCTTTGTTGTTTTGACAGGAGATGTGTCAAGTGAAAGCTGAAGGCAGCAGGAGCAGCCCACAGGCAGAGCCCGTGGCTGCAGTGACAGCATCACCTGCCCCAGGTGCTCCCTGGCCTGGGAGCGCAGGGAACTGACCCCACACAGGGCAATAAACGCTTTCTTCAAATCAGATGCAATTTGGTGCCAGATTGTGTGAGAGCAGAGGGTTCTGAAGGGGTTAGAAGCAGGGTTTGCAAAAAGAGAACGAACTCCCGATTCACCTTGTGTGTCATCCAGCCAGGAGCTGGGAGAGTCAGCCTGGAGCTTCCCACTGAGCTTGGAAAAGAGCTCTGCCAAGAAGCAGCGCTGCAATGCAGCAGTAAGAGAGGCCAGCCAGGAGAGGGCAATCATTAACTACTTTAAATAAGCAAACCAAGCATTTGAGGAGTAACTGGGATATAGAGAAGGCTGGAAACTTAGCTGTAACTGTACAGCCTGAGGAAAAGGGGGCTTAGATGAAAGGAACCACCCAATTCTCTTGAGAGCAGCTTGACTGCCAGGTGGCTCAGGTGGGACAGATGCTCCTGCCCAAAGCCTCTGGACCAGGCAAGTGCTCCCTGGTAATGTCCATCCACACCTTGTTTTGCACACCGTGTCTGACACTGACAAATTATCCTCCTGCCAGAGGGAAGGGGTGCTAACCCAACCCAGCCTGGATGTTTAATTTCCTAGAGAAAACATCATGTTCCCTCATTTCTCAGCAATGAGAAATGGAGATGAGAAGTGCCAAGGATGACGTTGTTCTCAATGCCTCCAGTGCACCCAGGCACTCATCAGGCACCTCATCCACCTCTTATCCCAGCCCCAAAGAGGGGACAACATCATCACTGCCATTGTAAAAGTGGGCAAGTGCAACAAGAGACTGCTGCATGTCTGGAGAGTAATCCAGTCTCAGCTCTAATGTAGTAATTAAGCACTGAAAATATCTCTTTTCCTTAAAAGGGGAAGAAAATGAGGAAAGCCAGAGGGAAGGTAGCAGCAAGTTCTGTGACTCCCTCTGGAGCTCCAGGGTGCTCTGTTTCTGTCCAGCTGCCTTTATCAGGCAAAATTTCAGTGTTAAGCCTTTGGAGTGACAGCTTCAGCAAAAATGAATTTTACAAGATCACAGAATCATTAATGTTGGAAAAGATCTCCAAGATCAAGTCCAACCTGTGACCAATCCCCCCCTTGTCAACCAGACCAGAGCACTGTGCCACATCCAGTCATTCCCTGGACTTTCCACCACCTCCCTGGGCAGCCCCTTCTAACGCTTGATAGATCTTTCAGTGCAGAAATTCCTCCTGATGTCCAATCTGAACCTGCCCTGACCCAGCTTGAGGCCATTCCCTCTCCTCCTGTCCCTGTTCCCCAGGAGCCCGACTGCACCCTCCTGTGTCAGGGAATTGTGGAAAGTGAGAAAGTTCCCCCTGAGCTTACTTTTCTGCAGGATAAAAAGTAAGTTCAGCCCATTCCCTCCAGGTCTCGAGGCACAGGTACCCAGACAGCCCTTGTTTCACCCACCTCTTCAGCTTGTGATGTGAAACAACTCCCCAACCTCTCCAGAGGGCAGGGGCCTGAGGGGATGCTGGCAGCAGCCTCCAGTGCTGCAGGTCAAGGGCCCATCTCAGCTGACACCAGTGGAGAGCTGTAGCTCAGATTACAAAACTCCAGGCTTTATGAGTAGATTTATAGCTGAATAAAAGCCTTGAATTACAGTAGGAGACATAAGGAACAAAAAAAGGCAGTCTGGCCCTCACAGCAAGTTTTGTTAACCAAATCAGAGGCCACTTGCACTTCCAGCTATGGCTCCTGAATGACCTTCAAGGGTAGCTGGGTTGTTATTCATGAAAAAAAACTTGTACAAAGCCTTTATTTTGAAAACTGTGTAAGCCAGGTTCTTTAAAGGGGATAATTGGACTGCAGAGTTTTCAGCTGTTCTGGGAAATCCACTTCTCTGAACAGAGTGTTATGGATACTGCAGAGATGAGCAAAGTCCAGCAACACTCAGAGACAGGTAAACAGTGTCTGAACATCCCTGACTCATCACCACTATCATCAGCCTTGATTTTGCTGGCTTTGTTTTTAACAAGTCTGTTCTCCCAGGTCCTCATAGTGAGAATCCTTCCCAGTGTCATTGTCCCTGGTGAAAATAAGCCCAGGAAGAGTCTGGCCCTAAAGAGCACAAATAAACCATAGAAAAAGAATTGGAGACGTGATATCTCTTTATCAGACCTTTATTAGCAGACTGTTCCCTACATGAAGAATCCAAGTTAGATTTGCATTATAACAATTTGTGGTTACAGCTACAAAGATGGTTGTCATTTTGCATTGATTTTTGCATTCTGATATTCATATTCTCATTAGGCCACACTGGTAGGAAGGAGCCACTGCAGAATTTATGACAGGTCTCAGGAAGAGGGGGGTGGGAAAAAAATCATATCCCTAATCCATTGTTGGTTAGATTTCCATGTGGCTACTACTGACAGCACTGAAAGTCAAGGCAGAGTCTCACCTGGGAGACTCTCCATGAACCACCAAAATCTGTCAGAAAAACAGCAGTTGCTGAGTGCTAGCAAATCCTTTTCCAATTTCTCACACACATCTCCAGTGTACTCCTGCATGTGATGAGCACTGGCACAGCAGCAGGGTCTGCTGATCCAGCCTCAAAGCACAGCTGCAGCAGCTCATGTCCAAGTGCAAGTTTGCTTCCATCTCTCTGGAAATGTGTAGTCTTTAGTCCCTGAGATTTCTCTCTCCCCCCCTTACTTAAAAACTCCCCCAAGCGCTCTTAATTAACTGTTGTGACATCCAACATCCACAGACCTTCCACTTCCCCACTTCAGCCATCCACCCAAAGCCTTTCTGGCGTGCACAGAGGCAATTCCAAGCTAAGGCAAGCCTCACAGTGCACCCTCTCCCCAGGGTTCTGCTTCCTCACCTGCTCCCTTCTCTCCTATGGCTTCTTGCTACAGAATTTCTCTGGGCTGAGGTCCTCCAGCAACAAACCCAGACATGGGAAAGGCAGTTCAAGCCCCGGAGGGCAGGTATACGAGTGACTTCAGCATCCCTCCCCACGACTCAGCTGTGTGATGTGAAAGAACTAATAGAGAACTTTTTAAAACAGGAGAAATACGAGCACAGTAACAATATTTAAACAAACCTATAAAAATAGTGTGACATAACTCTGTTCAAATAAATACAAAATAAATATGCTTTAAGCAGTAAAACAGTGGAATGCAACACTGGTCCATTTTACCCAAAATTAAAAGTTGGGTGAGGATCTCCCAGGCCTCAGAAGCTGGATCCTATTAATTAAAGCAGCCCATAACGCTATCAGAGAAATTTTAAAGCCATCTCTTTCCCTTAGCCTTATGAAAAGCACCCTTTGAGAGACAAACAAGCATGTCTTCAGGACTGAAAGAAAGCTCACCCCTCCCAGTGACAGCCAGCCCCTCTCCCTACCACCCCTTCCCACAGCAGACATTCCTGACTTGGGGCCCCTGTCGCACCAATGGAAACCCGAACATCCATCTACCAAGAGGTCTAAAGAGATGAGATAGCAGCATAGGCACGGGGTTTGGAAAAGGCTCACGAGCTCTCCTTGGCACCAGGCAGGATGGAATTCAGAGGTCCATGCAACGCTGCACAGGGGCTCTCATGTCGTGCTGGGAGCACAGCTGCACAGGAGCTGTGAGTTATTTTGTCTTTGCTCACTAAAGCCATGCATCACAGTGCCAGGCAGCCCAGGGCTCTCCTGCCTTCCCCTTTCCAAGCCCCTGCAGAGAATAAGACAAGCCAATCCCGGCATGCAAAGGATACAGGCATGCAGGCTCTAGTCTGCTGCTTCTGTTAGTAAGTGCATCTTGTTAGTGGGTTTGAGACACACTTAAATCTATAAAAATAAATAATCCTAATTCTTCATCAGGCTGGCTTAAGCAACCTTCAGCCTGGCTGGATAAACCACTGCCCACCAGCCCTCCAAACCAGTACAGATCAAAATTGCATTTCATGTCAATTCTTGGAAGCAGAACATGAATGTTTCCCACCCAAAGGAATATTTGTAAACATAACAAGCCTGGTGTGGCAGCAGCTCCTACACAAGGTTTGTACAAATTTAAACAACGGGTAGGAAGTTAAACAACTGAATGGAAAAAGCAGCTCTCTGAATGGAAAAAGAAGCTCTTTCAGCAAGTCAGAAGGTGCTCATCTGTAGGCAAACAGCTCTGTACAGGCAACACGCTGAGAGCAGACTTGTAGCCCAAATCTTTGCTACTCTGTCATACTGCTGGGAACTGACCTCAGCAACTCCAGCCTTAAAATCTCCCAGGAGTTCATCTCCTGGTCTCCTAAAAGGCCCAAGGAAAAGGACCCCGTGATGGTTTATGTGGAGTTCTGAGTAGCAAGATGGCAAAGGACACCAGGTCCTCCCCTCCCCCTCCCTTACTGACTCACAATCTGAGATTTCACAGCTTTGCTTCGTCAGCTTAGTGTCGACACATTCACAGAATGAGAGATGGCTTATATGTCTTGGGATCGCATCCCAAGATTTCAGAGTTCCGAGTCCTCAGCAGCTCCTGGTCACCGTGAGTCCACGCCCAGAGTCATCTTCAAGTTTTCATAGACCACATAGCTGATGCTCACAGCTGGGATCACCTTCATGAAGTTGGGCGCCAGACCCCGGTAAAGCCCAAACGCTCCCTCTGTCTTCAGAATGTGTTTGAACAGTCCCCTCATGGTCACTTCAGGAGCACCCTCCACTGAAGCTGCAACAGGGAAAGCCACAATAAATAACGCAGCCTATGTAGTGAGAACACTTTTGTTTCCAAGAGCAGATCTGATCCATGTGCTTTCAGATGTTCCCAGAACAAAGGTGCTTCGTGGGGGACAGCATTAACTTCTCAGCTACCCATTCCGTGCTCCACACTGCAAGTATTTTCTCAAACTGCTCTGCAGATGCCCTCAGCCCAGAAATGCTGATCAGAGAAAAACAGAACCTCTGTCCTGGAGGTCCTTGGCCACAGAGGTTAGAAGGGCAGCACAAAGTCCACTGTCCCCTTGCAGCATCACAAACAGCCCATGGCTCAGCTGTGTGGGCCAGCTGAGGCTGTTGTTGCAATGTTTGCTCTAGAGAACCTTTAGCCTTGCACAAAA